TAACTACTCCCAAACAGGCCTAGAATTAGAAACTGAATGGAATCTTATGTGCCCTTTCACTATCACAGGCTGAGAGAGACATGGCAGCAACTAGTTGCCTAAGTCTCAGTTCACTCCAAGTTCTCTTTTCCAGCCAGTTTCCTTGAAGTGCTTTCCCACAAACATACTTTCCACCTATAGAATCTGGAGTTATGGATCAAGTACATGAGGAACAGCACAGAAAATCAGCCACTTAATGCACTGGGTGAAAAAGCAAAGCAGATGAAAGAAGCAGGCCTGGAGCTTGTCTTTCAAAATGACTTACACCCCTGGTTGTGGACTAGAAACATCCGACAGAAAGATCAAGGTGAAGGAAAATTCTCTGGATGACTAAACCATCACTAATAAATACCTTTTGCCTGGGGAACCCAAAATGTTTTGTAAACAAAGAAACCAAATCTGATTTTTTTCCCCCAACCCACGTCCTGCTACCAACTTATTACTGCACTGATGCCTATAGAGAGTGGGCCATTTTCCAAAAGGATTGCTTTAGAGGTCAAGTGAGGAAGTCACATGCTGAACCCAGGAGTCCTGATTGTGAATGTATAAGCTCTTTCCATTGTCTCATGTTCCTTTTTCCAGTTACACCCTTACCCCACTCCAGGCCTGAGTTCTTATGGAACCCCAACCAAAACTATTCTAGTAAACCACAAGAGTAAACTGATTCCTCATGGATCTGGACAGGGGTGGGAAGGCACTCTATTCTGTGATTCCTTTAACAAAAGCCTAAAATTAAATAATCTGAAACAAGATTTCTCACAATCTCATTCAATTTCCACGCAGGCCTGTTCATCCCTCCTAGTGGCTGCTCCGGAGTAGTCAACCAAGTGTAATCTGATAGGGACTTCTTCAAAACTTGCTCCGGCCTTCAGAAACACCCTTCTGTCCTGAACAGCCTGAGGCAGCTGAGGCTCCCCCTGTTCACAACACATTTTTCTTCTTAGTTCAAGGTTTAGTTGATCCTGAAATAAGTGGTATGTGGAGATAAAGAGTGTGACAGAGAACGCAAGAAGACCACGGGAAAAACAGAACCAAATGTCACAAGGATCAGCAAAATCCTTGAAACTCGAGGGAGGTGTCAAAGGTGGAAATCCTGAATGGGAAGGGCACTGTCAAACCTCTCCCCTACAGACAGAAACCTCTAGAAGGTTGGGTGATTGAGGAGGCAGAAAGAGAAGCTACAGAAAGTTAAGGGTAGGGATCATAATGCATCCAGAGAAGGGTGAGGACTAGGTTCAAAGTAAGAATGTAAATGGCACTTTGGGATTGATGACAAGGGCCCGAGATCCCTTGAGGAGAAGGGAACAGGCAATTCTTGGAAGCCAGGAGCTGGCTGGGTGGGTGGGTGACGGTGAGGTAATGGAATCAGAAGCAGCACAGGAAGACAGGGATACAATCCCTGTCTCAGGGAAATGGGAACCCAGTGCTGGAGTTGCACAGGGACATCGGAAGAAAAGGGCAAACCAGGAAAAGAGATAAAGGTGGAGTCCATGGAATAGGTTTGGGGCACGGGCAGAGACGACGAGGAAGGACAAGGATGGGCCTATGGGAGTCGTCTGATGTGGAAAGGGTTCATGACTTAAAAAAAGAATAATTCGAGATGTAGGCAACAGGGATAAGAGTAAGGGAGGGGGGAATCCCCGAGGCAGAGGGAGGAGCTAATAGAAGAGGAAGCCAAAAAGCGGAGGAGGACCCCAGGCCTGAGAGGAAAGGGTGGAGAAGGAACCCGGGGTGCAGTTGACACCAGGAGGGCAGTTTCGTAGTCGAACTCAGGTGGAGAAGACTGTGCGGGACAGGGTGGGAGAGCGACCACCCCCCCAACAGGGCAAAGGTGACTCATGGAGAAGGAGTAGCTTACCTCTGGGGGACCCCCGCGGAGGGGGTGCGGGCAGTCGCGGTCGGACTGCCGACACCGCCGCCTCAGCAGCAGCGACCGCTCCCGGGTTCCATTGGTCGCCTGCGCTTCCCTGACAGCGGCCGCGGCGGCTGCACCAGGCCCCGGCTGCGGGGCTGCCCGCGGCGCCGCCTGAAGGGGCCTTCAGGCTGCCACAAGTCGACCGGGCCACACAACCTCCTCTTCCTCCCTCAGTACAACCAAGACCAAAAAAAAAATAATAATAATAAAATAAAATAAAATTCCTCAGCAGGTCTCGATGTAGTATTCTTCTCCTAAATCCAAGCCAAGCCCTTCTTCCCAGGATAAGCTTTCCTGCTTCTCCAACGCTCAGGACCCTACCGATCCCATAGTAATCTAAGGAGTCGGGTGAGCTGCCCGGAACATGCCTGTTCAGAAATAGAAAAGGGGGCGGGGAAAAGATGTTTGGAAGCTCGCGAGGGAGAGAGGGCGAAGGGAGGAGCTTACGGGTGGGAGGAGGGGACAATCTTTATGAAGCGGGCCTAAGCGATAGCGTTTGCGAGGCTAAAGAAACCGAGAGAGGAGTAAAATTTGCTGCATAAGTAGGGTGAGCTGGCGGGCGTGGGTGCCCTGTTAGAGAAGTATGGACATATGCATACTTTCAGAAGTATATTAACATGCAAATTATATGTAAATGACCGTTTGAGTAACCAACCAAATTACCGTAATCAATGACTTTTCCCCATCCCCTACGCTACAAGACTCCCTTAGTAAATCAGGCCGTGGGATGGACGCTGGGTTTCAAGAAGGGCGAGCAGGAAGACGGCGGACGGGGAAGACGTTCTCCCTCACTGCCCTTTTCCTACTCATCTTTGAGGACGATGCGGAGGTTAAACCCCTTAACGTTTCGGGAATGGCGCGGTCCGACCGCGTCAGTCTTTCGCCGTTAGAGAGGCCCGACTCGAGGCCGTGGTTCTGCCTCCGAGGTCACCACCAGCCTGGGCAGCCTGTGACCTCCAGCATCCATACGCCGAGCCCTCCTGGGAGGGGCTGGACAGGGCCAGGTTGGGAGAGGTGAGTGAAATGGCAAAGGCTTGGAGGGCACAATCCCTTCCAAACAAAACGAAGCCATATTAGGCGAAACAAATAAACAAAAACACGCCATGCAAATGGGCCTCTGGTGTTGCTTTTGTGTAATTTTTGTTTGTTTGTTTTGTAAAGACAGGGTCTTGCTATGTTGCCCACGCTGGTCTCTAACTGCTAGCCTCAAGCAATCTGCCGGCCTCAGGTACCAAAGTGCTGGGATTATAGGCCTGAGTCACCTCACCCAGCCAGCTTTGTGTATTTTTCGGTTAACATTGTTGATTTAGAGCCCTCTTTGTCCTCAGAACCTCTGTCTCAACGTCTTTCCTAGGCTTTACTTAATATTCAATGCCCCTCGTTAGGGCCTTACATAATACATTGAGGCTAGTTACTTGAGCCCGGGTCTTGAATGCCATCTTCCCTGCCACTTACAAGCTGTTTGATTTGGAATAACTAATGTAACCTCTTTGAACCTCAGTTTCTATGTCTACAAAGAAGACATATGGATGAAGTAATATTAGCCCATTACAGGGTTTTGTGAGGATCAAGAGAGTACAAGTTGCTACTATAATACTTTATTATTAATTATTGGGACAATCATACAGGATAGATGATGAAAGAGTCACTACTTACAATGTTTAATTGGAAGGCAGAATAAAGTGTAATAGCTTGAAAATGCCTGTGTAAAACATGCAGAATGTACAACAGTAGAACAAATGGGGTAGCTAACCTAATTGTTGAAGGAACATAGTAGAGTTTAAGTTAATTTGGAAGGCCTATATGTGTATGGACACACACACATACACACACACACACACACAGACACATCAGTATATGGTGAATGAATGAATGGAAGGCTTCTTAGAAATATTGTGAGTCAGGTCTTAGAATAGATATTGGATATAACCCAGCAAAATAAAAGACGAGTGAGCATTCTGAAAGCAAAAAAATTGTATGTTGAAGAACAGAAATGGGAATTTGTTCATATCATGAGGAGAGGGCAAGCAGACAAGCTAGGTTAAAGCGGGAGTACAGTATGAAAGATGAACAAAGAATGGGGACAAGAGTGCCAAAGATAGTTTAAATTTGTCGGCTGGGCTCAGTGGCTGACACCTCTAATCCCAGCACTTTGGGAGGCTGAGGTGGGCGGATTGCTTGGGCTCAGGGGTTTGAGACCAGCCTGGGCAACATGGTGAAACCACATCTCTACAAAATACAAAAATTAGCCTAGCTGGCATGGTGGCATGCACCTGTAGTCCCAGCTACTTAGGAGGCTGAGGTAGGAGGATCACTTGAGCCTGGGAGACAGAGGCTGCAATGAGCCGAGATCATGCCACTGCACTCCAGCCTGGACAATGGAGTGAGACCCTGTCTCAAACAAAATAAAAAATTATCGGCCTGGCATGGTGGCTCAT